AAGATTTATTTATTTATTTGAGAGAGAGAGAATGAGAGAGAGAGTACATGAGAGGGGGGAGGGTCAGAGGGAGAAGCAGGCTCCTTTGCTGAGCAGGGAGCCTGATGTGGGACTCGATCCCGGGACTCCGGGATCATGACCTGAGCCGAAGGCAGTTGCTTAACCGACTGAGCCCCCCAGGCGCCCAACATCAGCCATTGTTAACGGAGAGTCTCAGATGCTCACTTTTGCCCCTTAGGGAACTCTCTCTGTACTGCTTACATCGTGTCCTATTTCTGTCTTTGATTTCCTTGAGTGTAATTAGCCCCTTGGTTTTCCTTTAACACAGAAACCTCCGTACCCTGGGAATGGCCTGACACACACCATTTTCGGGAGAGGGGTGTGTAGCATTCTCTAGGTTCGCAAAGGGATCTCTGGCCCCACCAAAAGGTTAAGAACCACTGGCTCGGGATGCAAGCAAACCAACTGCAGAAAAAGACAGTTGGGAGAGAATCAGTAATTTGAACACCAGACAGATAGTAGATGATGTTACGGAATCATTAGTGGGTCAATGGTATCATGGTCGTGCTTTTTTAAAGTCCGATCTCAGCGCGGTGCTGTTCGAGCAGGAGTCGCTATCCCAAGAGGCTGCGGAGCACTTTGATAAGTGGCTAGTTTGACTGAGGGACTGGATTTTCCTAATGCTTTTATTTTAATTAAGGCTCTTTAAGATTTTATTTATTTGAGTGCGGGGGGGGGCGTAGGCAGAGGGAGAAGCAGACTCCCCACTGAGCAGGAAGCCTGAAGTGGGGCTCGATCCCAGGACCCTGAGATCGTGACCTGAGCCAAAGGCAGCTGCCCAACCAACTGAGCCACCCGGGGGCCCCTCATTTTAATTAATTTAAATTTAAGCACTAACACTTGATTGAGTTATTGGAAAACTTTTGAGTACGCTCGGCACAAAGCGGGTATGTGAATGTACCTTTGCAGCGGGAAATCACAAAACCTAAATATAGGTCAAGTATCTCCAGTGAAAATTTCACGTCTGAATTGAAGGGGCCGAAAGAGGAAAATGCACTCTGGAGTTTGAAGACTTCGGACAGAAAGGGAACAGGTTGGCCTGTATTCTCAGATGGTGACCTTCCTGGGAGGACTGGCAGTTGCCACATCGTCAAGAAGGTGGCTCCATAGCCTGCTTGCCCGGGTTCGAATCCTGCTTCTGTCGGTTCCTAGCTGGGGGGGATCCCGGGAGCCTGTTTTCTCCCCTGTAAAGTGGGCATGATGATGAGTGGTTGTGGTTTTGGATAGTTTCTCTCTGAAACACTAGCGACAGCAGATGGCGGTAGTCTTATTTTCTATTTTGAAATTGGCCTTAATGAGGAGACAATCCAGCGCGGTGGGTGAAAAGCTCAGCTTCCAGAGAAATCCTGGCCCTGCCACCTGCCAGCCCTTCAGCCCTTGGCCAGTACTTAAACTCTTTGGTCTCAATGTCCTAACAGTCATTGAGGACTCTGGAACTTTTCTTTTTTGTGAGTTCTATCAATATTTGCTGTATCAGAAATTAAAACTGATGCTAAAATTTTTTTTCTGTTGAGATATAATTCACATAACACAAAATTCATCCATTTAAGGTAGTATATTCACGGGGCACCCGGCTGGCTCGGATGGTGGAGCGTGCAACTCTTGATCTCGGGGTCGTGGGTCTGAGCCGCACCACGTTGGGTGTAGAGATTCCTTAAAAATAAAACTCTTTTTTAAAAAATCTAAAGTGGGGCGCCTGGGTGGCTCAGTCATTGAGCGTCTGCCTTCGGCTCGGGTCATGATGCCAGGGTCCTGGGATCGAGCCCCACATCGGGCTCCCTGCTCCTCGGGAAGCCTGCTTCTCCCTCTCCCAGTCCCCCTGCTTGTGTTCCCTCTCTCGCTGTGTCTCTGTCAAATAGATAAATAAAATCTTTAAAAAAAAAATCTAGCATATTCACAATTTTGTGCAGTCATCACCACTTAACTGATGCCAGAACGTTTTCATCACCCCAAAAAGAAACCTTGTACCCGTTAGGGGTTACTCATCATTTCCCCTTCTCCCAGCCCGTGGCTACCACCAATCCACTTTCTGTCTCTATGTATTTGCCTCTTCTGGACATTTCATATCCGTGGGATCCTACAGTATATGGCCTCTTGTGCCAGATTTCTTTCACTTAGCGTAGTAAAACAAATTTTTCTTTTAAGTAAGCTCCACCCCCAACATGGGGCTTGAACTCATGAGCCTGAGATGAAGAGTCACATGCTCCCCCCAACTGAGCCAGGCAGGTGCCCCTAAAATTTTTAAAACCCAAGGACGCGCAAGCACACATTGAGTTAGTGGTCAGAGCAGTGACATCCTCACGTGTCACACAGTCTCCAGAAAATGCCACGGTACCCTTGTAAGAGAATGAGAGTAACAAAGGCAGACACATTTTAGTATTAATATGGAAATAGTTTGTGGACGCCCTGAAAGCATCTTAGGGACCGCCCCCAGGGTCCCCGGACCTTACTTTGAGAACCACTGCCCTGGGCAGTGGCTTCACTTTGAAGCATCCGTTTCCCCATGTACCAAATGGAGATGGTAATGGGATAGACTTCAGAAAGTGGTTGAGGTTGGACGATCTATGAGATGGAGGTGCAAAGTTGGCATGGAGTGGGGGACTGTTGCCATTATTGCCTGGCCAAGTAAAAAAAAAAAAGATGCTCCCTCCGTAGCAGCTCCTCTCATTCTTGGGGGGAAAATGTCCCCGGCCACGAAGCCAAAGAGTGTAGAAACCCCTGTTGTTGGCCACAGGACAAGCAGCCCAGTGCCAAGTACCGCAGAGGGTCAAGGCAGTTGACAACTAAGAATAGAGTGGAGAATTTGTCCAGGAGGAGGTCAGCGCGACCTCCGTGAGTGGCAGCTGGGGGGGCTGGGGCGGAAACCAGAGGGCCGAGGGGAGGGGCTGGTGGCAGGTGAGCCGGGGGAGACAGCAGGTGCTGGACATTTGCCCAAAAGCTCGGAGGTTGAGGGAAGGTCAGAGGAGGTTCCGTGGGTCACGTTGGGGTGTTTCACCAAGGTTAGCTCCTGCAAGCAGCGGTGACCGCCGCTGGGGTGAAATGTTCTGTGTCTCCACGGGGGTGGTGGTCATGAGGGCATATACCTTTGTCAAAACGCATCACACCGCATCCTTAAAGTCTATGCCTCTATTCTATGTCAATATTACCAAAGACCGGAAATTGGTTTCTGAGGGAAGACGCCAGTAGGGGGAGAGCGAGATCCACGGCTCAAAGAGAGGTTTGCAGTTCAAGTTCTGGATGTGAAAGACAAGTTTCCGAAGGCGACCAGAAGAGGGGCATAAAGACAGAGGCGCTCTTTTTGCATTTGGGGAGTCCTTGGTTGTGCCCCCACCCCCACGCCAGCCTTCTGGATCTTTCTTGCAGCCAGAGAGCTGGAGAGAATATTTCCCGAACACCCCGTGTGCCAGGCTCTGAGCAGGACTCATGCATTTCTTACGGCAGTCCAGTCCTGTCAACTAGATCCCATGGTTATCCCCACTTTTTGCCAAATTAAGCCAAGGCTCAGAGAAAGGAAATGGCCAACCCTGGACTCAAGGCCAGGCTGAAGGTCATCTTGCCCAATCCTTGATCCCTGTAACCTATAGCCCCCTCCTGTATCTCCAGCCCCTGGTCGTTCCCCACCCTGTACGCACAGTGCGTACCCTCTTGTTTGTATGGTCTTCTTTAAAATGCACCGTCTTGGGGCGCCTGGGTGGCCCAGTCGTTAAGTGTCTGCCTTCAGCTCAGGTCATGATCCCAGGGTCCTGGGATCGAGCCCCACGTCTGGCTCCCTGCTCCGCAGGAGGCCTGCTTCTCCCTCTCCCAGTCCCCCTGCTTGTGTTCCTGCTCTAGCTGTCTCTCTCTCTCTGTCAAATAAATAAATAAGATCTTTAAAAAAAATAAAATAAAATGTACCGTCTTGGGGCGCCTGGTTGGCTCAGTCGGTTAAGCATCTGCCTTGGGCTCAGGTCATGATCCCAGGGTCCTGGGATCGAGTCCCGCATCGGGCTCCCTGCTCGGAGTCTGCTTCTCCCTCTACTTCTGCAGCTCCCCTGGCTTGTGCTCTCTCGTTCTCTCTCTGTGTGTCAAATAAATAAATAAAATCTTAAAAAAAAAAAAAAACCATCGTAGGCATGTGTAGATTGGCAGCGATCCTGTTTCATTTCTTACTGTTGTTTCCCTTACTTTTTATACCCAGTATTGTGTTAACATCCACCCATGATAACTTGCGCACATCCAGTGGGTTGCATTTTAACAGCTGGGTAGTCTTGAGGATGGGCTGTCAGCACCCATTCTCCCAGGGAGGGACATCCATTTGCCTCTGATTCCCCTCCGGTGTAAATAACACCGCTGTGGACATCCGTGGGTATGCTCCCTTGCGGATGTCTCTGAGGCACATCACCCAAGTGCAGAGTTGCCTGCACTTACTTTGCTAAAGTTCCGCCACCCTGAGTTCTGGGAGGCTGGCCCTGTCCACTCTCCCCGCTGCAATGCCTAAGGGTCCTGTGACCGACTGCGCGTCCTCACCAAGTCCTGGTCTTACCCAGCTTTCAGATTTTCTCCCGCCAGCCTGATAATTGGTGTCAAGTACTATCTTTTTTTTTTTTAAAGATTTATTTATTTGAGAGAGAAAGAGCATGCACATGAGAGGGGGGAGGGTCACAGAGAGGCAGGCTCCCCGCTGAGCAGGGAGCCCGATGGAGGGCTCCATCCCGGGACTCCAGGATCATGACCTGAGCCGAAGGCAGTCGCCTAACCAACTGAGCCACCCAGGCGCCCCTGTCAAGTGCTATCTCATTGTCGTTTCCATCTGAGGAGAATTGAGTGTCTCCCCACACGCGTGTTAGTCTTTGAGCTGCTTCTTCCGTAAATTGCCCCTTGTTCACGTCTTTTGCTCCTTTTCCTGCTGGGGTAGCTGGTTTTTTTCTTGTCGATTTGCCAGAGTTCCGTGTACCTAGCGCTGCTAGGATGCTTGTTTCGAAGATGGGAATTTATTCCAGTGTAATTGGTAAGGTTAGGCAACAATTCGAGCAGAATGCGGATTTCGCCTTTGCTTACAGATGATCTCGCCCACCCAGGAGAAAGAGTACTGCACTCAGTTGTTTGAGCCTGTAGGCATCCACAAAGCACACATACGCACGCCCCGAACAGAGCATCTCCGAGTCCCCTTGCCTCCCCCATGTGTGTAAGGAGCCACGCCCATTCTCATCTGCGGCTAGAACTTTTTTGGATTTCAAATCACCGTCCCTCTACCCCCTCAGAGTAACTCACAACGTGCACCCCTTCCGATGCCTGCTTCTACAAGCAAAGTGTAGGTCTTTTTCAAGGTAAAATGCCATCTTCCTTTTTGGAGTGTATAGATATAAGACTGTCCTCCCCTGGGGGCGCCTAGGGGGCTCAGTCAGTTACACGTCTTCTTTCGGCTCAGGTCATGATCTCAGGGTCCTGGGATCGAGTCCCACGTCGGGCAGGGAGCCCGCCTCTCCCTCTGCTCCTACCCCCACTCGTGCGTACACTCTCTCTATCAAATAATTAAATAAAATCGTTAAAAATAATTAAATAAATAAAATGCAGATCAGAGAAGAAACAGCCCGTAAGTCTTGTTCTGCTGCCCCTCTAGCAGTTTGTTTAAAAAAATAATAATGTCCTCCCCTGACCCACCCCCAGTTTTCCCGTGTGGCGGGGGCAGGGTCGGATCAGCTCTGAGGGCCCCGTCCTCCATATGGACTCCCTCCACCACAGCCCTGTGACTACCCCCTCCTTCCCTCAGGATGACACGGCATGGCAAGAACTGCACGGCAGGAGCTGTCTACACCTACCACGAGAAGAAGAAGGACACAGGTTTTGGGTTTGGGCAGGGGGGCAACTGTCTCTTGAAGTCACCATCCCCCCTCTGCCCCTCTGGTGATGCCTTCTGGGCATGTCTCTCCCCCCACCCCCCGACTGATGGTCATGACCTTATGAGGAACAGCCCGCGTGGCCCCCTACACCGCCCCAGTGATGGGCACTTCTGTACGTGACCTCATCTAAGACTCCCAACCACCCACTGAGGAAGGAATCTGCTGTTGTTGTGGCAGAACTGAGGCCCTGGGAGATACAGGCCCTTGAGTTTGGTCATAGAGCCAGAGGGGTGGAGGGGAGTCAGCCGTGAGCCTCTCTACCCAGCTACCTCAGCGACAGGGCCTGTCTGTCACTTTCCCTCTGGATGGACACCTTCCTGTGGGTTGTGCCCCTGCCCCCAACACAGAGACACACAGATACACAGCCCAAGCTCTTGACTGCCTGTTTCTCAGAGAGTCCACCCTCCCCACCCTGCCTCCCAAGTTCTCTCTGTGCCTTTCTCTTGGGGTTTGGCAAGGGGCACATCTCCTGGCCCTCCATCCCTCTGTCTGTCTCTGTCCCCAGCGGCCTCGGGCTACGGGACCCAGAACATTCGCCTGAGCCGGGATGCCGTCAAGGACTTCGATTGCTGCTGCCTCTCTCTGCAGCCCTGCCATGACCCTGTCGTCACGTGAGCCGGGGAGCTGCATGGAGGGGGCCGCGTGCGTGGGTCTGGCCGCCTGCACGGCTGGGGCGCCCTGGGCAAGCCCCTTCACCTCTCAGAGGCGCAGTGTACTCATCCAAGACATGGGCGTGATCCTAACGTGTTCCACGGGGTGTGGAAAAGAATACGTTTGTAATGGAGGGTAGGGCCCTTGGAGCATTGCCTGGCGCATAATAACAGCTCATGTGCGGACGCTCACTGTTACCTGCCTCACGGCCTGGTGGAGGCTTCAGGGAGATCGTGGGTACAAGGTGCTTAGTCCAATGACTGAATATGGGCTTGGTGTGCGGGTCTGTGTTACAGAGATAGTGACGGCCGGGTGGGTCTTTCCCCGCATGACCAGCCCCATCTAGGGTCCCTGAGGCCACGTTCAGGTTCAGGGGTTCATGAGAAGAACTCACAGAACTCAGGGAGATAGTTCTAGTCAGTGACAGCTTGTGACAGTACGAAGAGGGAGATTAGGTCAGCAAGGGGGAAAACGCGTGGGGCAGAGCCCGGAGGGACCAGGAGCGAGCCTCCAATCATCCTCTCCTGACAGAGTCCCAGGGACAGCGCTGGTCTCCCAGCAACAACGTGTGACAAGAGTCGGGAGTGTTGCCCACCAGGGAAGCCCACCCGAGGCCCCGGTGTCCAGGGACTTTATTGGAGGCTGGTCCTGGAGGCATGGCTGACCTCCGTGGGGCTGACCTTGGTCTCCAGCCCCTCCGGAGGTCTGATACCACACGGCCCAAGCCCCCGCCTCCACCTCCTACCCCTGCCCCAGGTGAACTAAGACACTTTTATCAGGCAGCACATTCCAGGGGCTCCAGGGTTCCCTCCTGGGAGCTGGTCAAGGGCCAGTCCTTTGTTTGGAACGTGCAGGGATCGGATCACCCAGGCCTGCTGAGTTAACCCTCTGCAGCACAAGATTCCACTCCCCCCATGCATGTCAGAGCAGATTGTAAAGCCTGGAGAATGGAAATGGTCTGGTGCACTTCAGGGTGCACTGAGCACCGAGTGACCTGCTCCCTGTAAGAGGCTTTAGTGGGTGCCCAGGGCAGGGAGCTGACACTTCTCACCCTGTCCTGTCCTTACAGCCCGGATGGCTACCTGTATGAGCGGGAGGCAATTCTGGAGTACATTTTGCACCAGAAGAAGGAGATCGCCCGGCAGATGAAGGTGACAGGGGTTGGGGAGGGGGCAGGGGCAGGGGGTGAGCTCACAAGCTCACAAGCAGAGCCAGTCTGGGCTTCCTTTCTGAGTTCCCTTTCCCTCTGAGCCTTTGCCCGGGCTGTTCCTGCTGCCTGGTGCACCATCCCCTCCCACTTGTGGTTAAATCCTTCCCCTCCAGATATCAGCCCAGGTGTTGCCTCCTCTGACCTCCTGCTAGTCCAGGGCCCCCAGGGTCTGCCGTTGCCACCTCTTCTCTTGACACTTGTCATGGTTGTGATTCTGCATGTGGCTGACATGTGCCCACTTCTCCCACTAGACGGCAGGCCACAGGGGCAGGGAATAAACCTCTTGCCTACCCCCGGCCCTAGGTTTTCCGTGAATACTTGTTGAATTAACTGATGTCACCTCATCTTTCTGGGCCTCCGTTTCAGTGGCTCTAAAATGGGCCAACGGAGTCAAGTCAGAGGGCGCCTGCAGGGCATGTGGTAGATGCCCACAGGTCAGAATTGTCAAGGGCTTTACTTGGAGCCACGCCCATCTTCCATGGGTGAACTATTTTCATGGGTAGGAGGGACCCCGTTTATCACCGTGTGTGAGGCAGAGCTGGCCTGCCTCCCTGCTTTTCTGGCCAGGCTTCACAGAGCTCCAGAAACACGGTGGGCTAGATTCTTGCTGAGCCTTCTGTCTTGAGTGAGGGGCTTCCCCTGTGCCCATGACCCCCTGCATGGTCTAGTGGCTGCCTGGGTGCTCCCTCCTTACGGTGCCATGCCAGAGGCCGTCCCGAGCACCAGTCACCCTCAGTGTTCTCCTCCCTCAGCTGGGGGACTCAGGGCAGTCTCAGCTCAGCACCGCGTCCCTGCGTCTGTGCACACGCACACCCACACGGCCCGTGCAGTCAAGGCTTCGTGAATGTCAATTGCTTCTTACTCTCCTGGAACTCGCCTCCAGGGCCGGACAGGGTCTACCATACGTACACTGTAAAATATAACGTGGCCCACAGGTGCATTTATGGAGCGCTTGCTATGTGCCAGGAAAGGTTTTAAGCGTTTTCCAAAACTCATCCTGCATAACCCAGAGAGCCTGCGAGGTAGGTCGCGGTTGTTAGCCCGATTTACAGACGAAGAAACTGAGACCAGGAGAAGTCACAGCACTTACTGGAAGCCACAGAGCTCATCAGTGACAGAGGCAAGGTTTAAGTCTGGCCATCTGTCTCCTGCCAAGGTGCTGACCACTCTGCTGCCCAGGAACAGAGAAGCCACTGAATCCCAAGCCAGCTACCTGCCCTGCAGTCGGGGAAGGGACAAGCAAGGGCAGCAGAGCCACACCATAGATCACAACATATTAAAGGCTCACACCCTGGCAGTCACCAGCCTCTACGAAAAGTGCCAGGATTGTCCCCTTTGTAGGCTTCAGTTTACCCATCTGTGAAATGGGAAGAGCCACCCTCAAACTCACAACCCACAGGGAGACGCATAGTCCACTTCTTTCTGGCTGTCTGCAGGCCTATGAGAAGCAGCGGGGGGCCCGACGTGAGGAGCAGAGAGGGCTGCAGCGGGCTGCGGCCCAGGACCAGGTGCGGGGCTTCCTAGAGAAAGAGGCAGCCATCGTGAGCCGGCCCCTCAACCCCTTCACACCCAAGGACGCTTCGGGGAGCAGCCCAGGTGAGGGCGAGCAGACTTGCAAGTGAGTGGGGGTCTCGCGGGGCCGGGTGCTTCCCTGGGTATGGCATCAGAACCCACTTCCCCTTGTAGATGATGCCCGACCTGGGTCCAGTGCAGGCCCCACAGGCAAGGACAAGGACAAAGCGCTGCCCAGCTTCTGGATCCCGTCCCTGACCCCCGAGGCCAAGGCCACCAAGCTGGAGAAGCCTGTGAGCATTCCCAGCACCTGAGCAGCCCCCTTCCCTGCCTGGGACCCCCCCCCCAATCCTCACTATACCCGGCCCCAGCCCCGCCTGCTGACCCTGCCTCCCTTCTGTCTCGCGCAGTCGCGCACCGTGACCTGCCCTATGTCCGGGAAGCCACTGCGCATGTCGGACCTGACCCCCGTGCGCTTCACGCCGCTCGACAGCTCCGTGGACCGCGTGGGGCTCATCACTCGCAGTGAACGCTACGTGTGCGCTGTGACCCGCGACAGCCTGAGCAACGCCACGCCTTGCGCCGTGCTGCGGCCCTCGTGAGTTACTCGAGTCGCCCGGGGGAGGATCCCGGGACCTGCCGGGCGGGATGGGGCGGGGCTCGGGGGTGTGGCCCTCCCTCGTCGGGGCGGGGCCTCTGATCGGTGCCCCCGACGCTCACGCTCACCGTAGTGGGGCCGTGGTCACTCTGGAGTGCGTGGAGAAGCTGATTCGGAAAGACATGGTAGACCCCGTGAACGGGGAGAAGCTGACGGACCGAGACATCATCGTGCTGCAGCGGGTAAGCAGCGACTCCCCTCTCCGGCCCGGCTCTGCGAGGCCCCGCCCCCTCTCCTCCGCACCCTCCCGGGAGGCCCGCCTGCCACGGGGTCCCGCGTCACCTTACCGGGTTTGGGGCTCCCCCCACCGCCCCTGCAGCCCGACCTGCCCCCACCTTGGCCTTGCCCCCCCCCACCTCCCCAGGGCGGCACAGGCTTCGCGGGCTCCGGAGTGAAGCTGCAGGCTGAGAAGTCGAGGCCGGTGATGCAGGCCTGAGTGCGTGGGAGACCAAATAAACGGGCTTGGACTCAATGGCTTTGTGGTGCCTTCCTTGGCTGCGCTGGATCCCAGGGGCCCCCCCAGGCAGCCCTCCAGCGTATGCCTGCTGCAGCGGCCAGAAGCTGAAGGCGCGGGCTAATTATGTTAAGGGTGGTGTGACGTTAGGAGTAAAACCTGAACTGAACGCACACGCGCCCGGTTAATATTGGGTGAGAGTAGCCAGAAGTCGGAGTCTGAAGCGCGTGCACACGAAGGCGCTGCTTGAACAGGCTCCGTAGAAACCCCCTCCATCTTTGAGTTAACGCCGCATTCGAAGCCCGTGAGACGTTCTGGAAGGTGTCTCTCAAAGTGAAGTGTGGTAAGACAGCCAAAGGAAGCCAAATGCGGTGAGCGCAAGCAGCAGGCTCCCAGTCTAGAGAAGGCAGTCAGGAGCCCTTCCCTCTGACACTTGACTGCAGAAGGCCAAGACCAAGAAGAAAGCCCTACTCCAGAGGCTTGCACAGGCTGCCCGGGGCACAGGACCTGGCAGGGGTGAGGAGCAGAGCCTGCAGGGAGGAGGAGGCCGCAGAGCGTGGGGCCTGGCGGGCCTGCCTGCAGTACGCTTGGCTAGGAGCACAGGAGGGCTCTCAGAGCTTCGTTTTTAATGACCATTGACTCACAAAAGCAACCCTGGGCAGTGTGCAAGGCAGAGCGTAGGGTCAAGCAAAGATCAAAAAGATCAAGCCCTAACATTCCAAGTATTGCCTCCCTGAGTGATACCTAGGGTCTGTCCTTCCAGATCTTTCTCCACGTAGTACACGCACGAGTGTTTTCAACCAGCGTGACCTCTCAGTGTACATACCGTTCTGTTCAGTGAACAAGCTCTACTTTTTCACTTCTGTAAAAGTAAAAGGTCTCATCTGATGCCCAGACCCAATTCAAAGGACCAGGAAGTATCCTTCACTGCCCTTTGCTGAAGCCTGTCTGGTACATCCGGCTGCAGAGGAAGGTTGTAGCAGAAGGGTGGGTGGTGTCACCCTTGCACTCTGGGGAGCCCCCCACACCCAAAATTTGCTCCCCTAAATGCTTCTAGAACCTTCCCTTTGTCCCTAAGAGTCCTCACACCCTACTCTTGGGACCCCAATCCCTGGAAATGGGTTGCAGCTGCCATTCAAGGAGCCCCTTGATGTCTGGACCTATCAATCTATGGTTCTCTTGAGTCCTGGGAGAGGGATGCTTGTACCCATTTCACAGAACAGCCCACTGAGTCTGAGAAAACACACTTGCCCAAAGTCATACTGCTCAAAGGTGTAGCAGAAGCCAAGTTCACTTAGAAGTCAGCCACCTCCAGAGACCTCCCCACCCCCAGCCCTGCCCTTCCTCCCATCCTCTGTACCCTTCCTCCCCCAGGTATTCCCACACTGTCACCCCAAAGACCTCTCCCCCTGACGCCTGGGTGGCTCAGTCGGTTGGGCATGTGCCTTTGGCTCAGGTCATGATCCCAGGGATGATGGGATCCCAGGTCCTGGGATCGAGTCCCACGTTGGGCTCCCTGCGGTGGGGAGCCTGCTTCTCCCTCTCCTCCCTGCTCCTACTTTCTCTCGCTATCTCTGTTGCTATCTCTCAAATAAAGTCCCCTACTATTTAAAAAGAAAAAAGACCTCTCCCCCTTAAACTCCCACCCAATCCTTTCTACCTAGAGCGTTCTAAGTCACCCCCTTGGTCCCTAAATGCCCCCAAGCCTCAGCCTCTTTCTCAAGAGCCCACAACCACCCCTGGGTCCTTCCAGTTCTCTCTCAGCCCCCTCAAGGACTCCAGTCTTGCTCATGTGTGTTCAGATGACCCCCTGCCCCAAATAAAAGCTTCAAGGATTCCCAGTCTTGCACCTTTGTTTCCACAAGGAACCCAAATCCCACTGATCACAGGCCCTTCGAGACACCCTTTGTGGGGAGGCAATGGGGTGCGTGCCAAGGTCCTTGCTCCAAGAAAGTAGTTTCCTTTGAGGTTTCGAAGGTGACAAGAGAAAGCAAGAGTCTGACCACAGCTTCAGCTACAGCAGCAGAAGGGAGAGAAGGAAATGGGAAAAAAGGTTGCCTTTTCTCAGCGGAGGTTCTGTAGACACTGGTCTAAAGTTGAGAGCAAGAAAGGGGAGGCAGGGCTTACCTCCAGCGGGGTGTTCCTACAGGGGCTCCAGCCTCAACTGGCTCATGGAGGGCACATAGAAAACTGAAATTCTGGGGCACCTGAGCGGCTCAGTCGGTTGGGAGTCTGCCTTCGGCTCAGGTCATGATCCCAGTGTCCTGGGGTCGAGCCCCACATTGGGCTCTCTGTTCAGTGGGGGAGCCTGTTTCTCCCTCTCCCTCTGCTCTGCCTACTTATGATCTCTTTCTCTCTCAAATAAAATAAAATCTTAAAAAAAAAGAAAACTGAAATTATTTATTTATTGAGAGGAAGAGATGGGTGGCAGGGGGGAAAGAGCAGAGGAAGAGAGAGAATCTTAAGCTCCAACTCAGGGCACCATGCAGGGCTCAATCTCACAACCCTGAGATCATGACCTGAGCTGAAATCAAGAGTCAGACGCTTAACCAACTGAGCCACCCAGGCGCCCCTGCAATTCTTAAGGTTTTTAAATAGGGAGATTTATTCTGGAACGGAAAAACTACATAGACAGGGAGCAAATCCTTGGTGGGCAAGGGAGGGGAAGGGATGGCCTAGGAAGGAGGGGAGAGCAAGAGACTTTGGGGGAGGGGCAACAGAACTGTATCTTGATTGTGGTTACATGACTGATTCATCAAAATTCATAGAACTGTAACCAAGAAGCAGACCGTGTGAGTTAGAGAACAAATTTGGAAATTTTTAAAAGGGGATTTCATGTGAGTAGATTTCCATTTCTCTCTAAAAAATGAACTTAGGGGTGCCTGGGTGGCTTAGTCATTGAGCAACAGCCTTTGGCTCGGGTCATGATCCAAGGGTCCTGGGATCAAGCCCCACATCGGGCTCCCTGCTCAGCAGGAAGCCTGCTTCTCCTTCTCCCACTCCCCCTGCTTGTGTTCCCTCTCTCGCTGTCAAATAGATAGATAAAATCTTTAAAAAAATGAAATAAAATAATAAATGAACTTAGTGGGGCGCCTGGGTAGCTCAGTTGATTGAGCATCCAACTCTTGATTTCGGTCATAATCTCAGGGTTGTGGGATCGAGCCCCTCATTGGGCTCCTTGTGTGATGGGTGATGGGGAGTCAGCTTGAGATTCTCTCTCTCTCTCTCCCTCCCTCCTCTCTCAAATAAATCTCTTTTTTAAAGATTTTATTTATTTGAGAGAGAGATCAGAGAGAGAAATAGAGCACAAGCAGGCAGGGGAGGGACAGAGGGAGAAGCAGACTCCCCGCTGAGCAGGGAGCTGACTCAGGGCTCGATCCCAGCACCCTGGGATCATGACCTGAGCCAAAGGCAGGCACCCCTCAAACATAAATCTTTTTTAAAAATCCACCTAGTGATTCCACTCCTAGGAACATACCCAAGAAGACTGAAAACCTGTACACGCAAAAACTTACATGAAGGCGCTAATCACATTAGCCAAAGAGTAGAAACAACACAAATGTCCATCAAGTGATGAATGGACAAACAGAACCTGGCATGTTCATACAGTGGAATATTATTCAGCCATAAAAATGAAGTACTGATACCTGCTACGATGTGGATGAATTTTGAAAAACAGTATGCCAAGTGAAAAGCCAGACACAAAAGGCCACCTACTGTATGATCCCTATTATATAAAATGTACAGAATAGGCAAATCTATAGAGACAGGAAGTAAATGAGTGATTGCCAAGGGGCTGAAGGGAGGAGGGAATGGGGAGTGACTAAACCAGGACTAAGGGTCCTGGTTTACTATGGAGGACGGGGGATGAAAATATTCTAGAATTAGTGGTGATGGATGCACAACCTTGTCAATCACTGAATTTTACACTTTAAAGGGTTCGTTTTATAGTATGTCAGTTGCATTTCAGTTTCTTTTTTTTTTTTTTTGAGAGAAAGCGTGCACACTCGAGAGGAGGGGGGAAGGGCAGAAGGAGACAGAGAAAGAAAAAAATCTCAAGCAGTCTCCACAACCAGCATGGAGCCCGACATGGGGCTCTGTCTCAGGACCCTGAGATCACGACCTGAGCCAAAACCAAGAGTTTTACGCTCAACTGACCGAGCTACCCAGGCGCACACAACCCCCCCCCAGTTTTTTTTTTAAATCAGAAGATCTGGGGCGCCTGGGTGGCTCAGATGGTTAAACATCTGCCTTTGTCTCAGGTCATGATCTCAGGGTCCTGGGATCCAGCCCCATATCGGTCTCCCTGCTCAGTGGGGAGCCTGTTTCTCCCTCTCCCTCTGCTGCTCCCCCTGCTTGTGCTCTCTCTCTCAGTCAAATAAAATCTAAAAAAAAAAAAAAAAACAAAGAAAGAAAGAAACAAAGAAAAAGAAGATCTGACATCATCAGAGACCCCACCTAGTTGCTTCTCCCAGGCTGGCTCTCAAAAGCATGTGGATTTAGAACACACTGATCTAGAGGTGTGGGGGTCACCATAGAAAGAACTAAAAGCAGAAACAGTTCAGAAGATCCTTCAGAGAAAAGGGAACTTTTTTTTTACCACGCTGGTAGACATGGGAACTGGAGCAGTAATTTGACAATATCTAGTCAAAGCTAAAGGTATGCCGACCCACCTCACGATCTCACTCCACGGACACACACACCCAATCGTGCTCAAGGAAACAAGAACTAGAAGGTTCACAGGTTTACAGTACGGGGCGCCTGGCTGGCCTAGTCAGAAGAACATGTGACTCGTGATCTCGTGAGTTCAAGCCCCACATGGGGTGTAGAGATTACTTAAAGATAAAAATCTTTAAAAATAAGGGGGTGGGGCGCCTGGGTGGCTCAGTTGGTTAAGCGACTGCCTTCGGCTCAGGTCATGATCCTGGAGTCCCGGGATCGAGTCCCGCATCGGGCTCCCTGCTCGGCGGGGAGTCTGCTTCTCCCTCTGACCCTCTTCCCTCTCTCGTGTTCTCTATCTCTCATTCTCTCTCTCTCAAATAAATAAAATCTTTTAAAATAAATAACTAAC